CCAGTATGAGCATCACAATCTAGGGAAAGGCGAAGGAAATCTCAGTTACCCATAAACAATGACGTCATGACGTTCTTTGACGTGACATTTTTGCATTTTGTGTAGATCTATTGGCAAGCGTTACATTTCAGCTATGCATCAATATCCCCTAAACATAACGTTGTTATGGTTTAAGCATGCGTACTCGGCCGTGTAAACACAGCCACGAACGTCCCTCAACATGGCTTTGAAACTAGTTTTATTCTCTATTATTCGATTATTTTTCTTTCAGTATGCTGGAGGCTCGCAAACGTTTCGCCTTGGAACGAAAACAGCATACCACTTCAACAATTCTGCTTCCTCGATAATACACCCCGACCGATGTGAACCTATTCATCTCAACATGGTGATACGCCACGGCTCTCGACTTCCAAGTGATGGCGATATGGAAGAAATTGATGCACTTTTAACCAAGCTGAACCAAATCTACACAAAAGATTCGCCATTCCGCTACCAAAATCTGACGTTACCATGGATCAAACCACCGCTGTGGAACGACGGTAATCCAGGCGAGCTAACAGCCGTTGGTGAAATTGAACAATACAGTATCGCCAAAAGGTTTCGAGCCCGTTTTAACAGAGTCTTCGACAAGAAATACTGGAATAAATATTACAGTTTTGTGTCTTCAGATAAACCTCGCACGGCTCAAAGCGCCATGGCGTTTGCCCACGGATTATTTGAATCCCAAGGTCCTGTAAGCCCATCAAAATTTCAACCCGTTGCTGTCATGTTTTCTGGTCGTCAAAACCAGGATAAATTATTGTCTTCTTACAAAACATGTCCTCGGTACGAGATCGACGTTGACGAGAATGGCCTTGATGAAGTGGAAAAGTTTTTGAAAGGGCCAGAAGCTAGGAGTGTAACAGAACGACTTGAAAAAAGACTCAAGATAACCGGAAAGATTTCACTGACGTTTGATCTTGTCGAGAAAATTTTCCGGTTGTGTGCGTTTGGAGTAATGAACCGTAACGACAGAAGCTGGTGTGATTTGTTGGAAGATAATGATGTCAAAATAATGGAGTATCAGGGTGATCTGAAAGCGTATTACGAGCACTCATACGGAAACCAGCTAAATCTGGAGATGGAATGCACTCTGCTTTCTGAAATCACGAAAAATTTGCGTGACTTCTCCGCAGGTCAAACCGATCTTCGGGGAGTATTTCGATTCACGTCATCAGGCACTTTAGTTGGGTTGTTGACAATTCTCGGACTTTTCAAAGATTCCATGCCTTTGCGGGCAGACAATTACCTCCAAATGAGAAAGCGACAATTCGTTTTGTCTAACATGGTTCCCATGTCGGGCAATGTCGCTGTGGTTTTATATGCGTGCAAATCCTCAGGTATGGCGGAAAAACGGGATCACAAAGTGCAGGTGTTGGTGAACGAGGAACCAGTAACTCTGCCATGTTGTCATGGAAACGTAATATGTAGTCTTGACGAATTTTTGTCATGTTTTAAGGAGACTGTTGACAGCTGTGATTTGGAAGCCATGTGTTCTCTATCGTCAACTGATCAACCAAAGGCCATGGCTACTCTACTTTATCCCCGGCAGATCCTATTATCATTTTTCCTTGTTTTTACTCTTTTTATTAGATTCTAACAGCCTCGTCTCCATTCTGCATACAGAGAGAACCAATATGTAAATAAATTATTTGCCAACTCAAAGATCTGCACCAGGCTGTAGCCTGTTTCAGGTACCTAGTCTGTGAAGAGCAAATTAGCTAGCAGTTGCAGTCGTCAAGGCAAACACTTACATTTGCTGTTTTAAATGTGCGTGCTTGTGGATCAAGAGCTTGGCACAGGCTACCCAAGGAGTTGGGTAACCCTTTAGCTGATCTTGGCCCATGGCTATACTTAGGAAAGAGGACTGAGTTGTTTCTTTTTTGTTTTTTTGTTTACGTTGACCACTACTCTTCTATTTTTCTTGCAGTTTTAGGACTACTTAGGAAGCAACTGTCAACTATATGTGAAATTATAGATCCTCTTTTATTCTGCAAGATTTCCTTAATTCCATAACATTTAAGTGTGCCAGATCATCAACGAAAATTCATAATAAATATACCTTACTACCATTTGAAAAAAGGTTTCCTTGAAAATCTGCATTCGAGGCCAGCAGTAATGCTGCATTGCCAGTTGTTGAG